TCTTTCACCTGCAATCCATCATCGAAGCAGGCTAATCATCGTGACTTTAGTAGATCACACACAGCCGTCAAATGGTAACAGGTGACACCTCTTCTCCTCTTTCCTTTCTCCTCTGAGTTCGTTAATCAAATATTTAATTCACAATGCCCTTTAATGAGTGGCTTGCTTTGTCTCTTTGTGTTGGCTTTTAGTACATTTTTTGCATATTCAACTATTCAGTATCTATCAACTAGGCATTACACATTTTGTTGTTTCGTAGAATGAACTAAAGCCAATCAATGGTTTTTGTTGCAAAAAAAAGTTGGGAAATAAACTTGCGCACCTGAATATTCTAAGTGATCAATGATTTGAGGTGAAAGGGAAAGTGTGATATGAGGATGATGCTCAGTGGAGAAAAATATAGTATTTGCTGAAGAACTAACTAAACTCTACCATGAAGTATTGGCAAGACGTCGCATGCGACGAGTGTTGCGATCTTGATCGCGAATCTTCTTTTCCATCTCAGCGTCTGTCAGCGTTTCGAGGAATGGACACCACTGATCAGCGTCAGAAGGATTTCGAAAGGGAAGATCTACAGTTGGCAGAGGATTTTCACTAAATTTTAAAAAAAGTTTAGTTATTTTCTTAAAAANAACTAAACTCTACCATGAAGTATTGGCAAGACGTCGCATGCGACGAGTGTTGCGATCTTGATCGCGAATCTTCTTTTCCATCTCAGCGTCTGTCAGCGTTTCGAGGAATGGACACCACTGATCAGCGTCAGAAGGATTTCGAAAGGGAAGATCTACAGTTGGCAGAGGATTTTCACTAATTTTAAAAAAAAGTTTAGTTATTTTCTTAAAAACTTTCCTAATTTGCTTACCTAAAAGCATAGGTACGTTGATACCACGACAACTGTCCTCGAATACTGTACGCAATTGCGGTGACAAATTCGCCACCAAGACCGAGTTCGGCGCAAAGTTTAAGAGCAAACTCTTCTGGGTCATTCTGCTTTTCAGACATGTCCCACTCAAATTGGTCAACAAGAGAAATATTGCCAACATGAACATTCAGCTGAAAACAAATAGAGTTAATACAAATAATTTTTCTACAACGAACCAAAGNCAGAAGGATTTCGAAAGGGAAGATCTACAGTTGGCAGAGGATTTTCACTAGATTTTTAAAAAAAAGTTTAGTTATTTTCTTAAAAACTTTCCTAATTTGCTTACCTAAAAGCATAGGTACGTTGATACCACGACAACTGTCCTCGAATACTGTACGCAATTGCGGTGACAAATTCGCCACCAAGACCGAGTTCGGCGCAAAGTTTAAGAGCAAACTCTTCTGGGTCATTCTGCTTTTCAGACATGTCCCACTCAAATTGGTCAACAAGAGAAATATTGCCAACATGAACATTCAGCTGAAAACAAATAGAGTTAATACAAATAATTTTTCTACAACGAACCAAAGTGTACCTTGAGTACAACTCGTTGGTCAGCTGGACCATCGTCCATAAAACTTTCACTGGGAAATGCGTCGATTTGCTGTCGAATAGACTGAGAAACGGCCGGAACAAAGGTGGATGAGGGTAAATCAAGATCATCACAAAGCACTTCAGCAAACTGCTCTGGAGTGATTGTTTTCTCTGCAATTAGAATGGATGCTGTGAGTTAGTGTATCGAAACAAGTAAAACATAGTGGTCCATACCATTCTTATTCCAGGTGAATGTATCTCGCAACTTGTGCCCGTCGATTTCCATGTCCAGACGTATTGGCACCAACACCTCGGACTGCAATGCATTCTCATGAACCAGAGAAGCATCGAGATCGTCGTACAGCAGAGGGAACGTTCGTATGCGCTTCATACTGATGCGATTTCGGCCAATGGGTGTGGAGCAGGGAACGGCGTCCAAGTGGTGCGATGTATTGGGCACTGTGGGAGCCCAGTTTGGCCTCTTCGGCTTTGATTCTCGCGTAGTCACCGGTTCGGTGGTGATTGACACAGCCTTAAACTTGTCATCATTGCCCTGAAAGATCTCATCCACTTCTGATGCCTTCAGCAGCGTAATGTTGGTGGCCAGTGAGTGTGTACCAAGCCCCAGTTGATTGATCTTTTTGCGCTCTTCCACGGTCACCAGTCGACGCCATAGGGATGGAAACTTCTTGTAGAGCGAGCCTCTGAACATGCGAAGATAGTTGCCCACCTGTAATTAAAGAGAGTAATTAAGCCGGTAACCTTTTAAAGTGTCAGGAAGAAAAGCAAGCAAACATTACCTCCGAGCCAATGTAGTAGTGATCGCCATTGGGCTCAAGCTGGAAGGCAGTCGGTTTCTCTCCGAAGGTGTGCATGGCAGATCCCGGAGATGATGGTGTCACGCAATGGATGCACCAAACTCTCGCAGACTTGGCAAGAACTTGCTGTAGAAGCTAACTGCCAAAGACGATTCCTCGATTCCGGTGCTAACAGTGGAACTCGTGAAAATCCAAACAAAGCAGTCGCGAAACCACGCCTACAAAGCAACTCATAAACGACGAGACCATTTTGTTTACTGCCTAACGCGGCAAGTTGGAATCGCAACCTGCCACCTTCGGCAGTGCTCCTCTCGCCGATAGTATTTAGCACTGTAGAAGTAGTATCTTGCAGTTGTTTCCCCCTCGGTATCTCTCGTTTTTATTTGCGAAAATGTACATCTACACCAAATGTGTCATTTGCTGGTCGGTGGTTGTCTTGGCTTTCGCTGGCACAGAAATATTCGCGTCACTGATAGAGAGCAGAGGAAATTAGAGCACCTCAAAAATCAGCGGTGGCGGTGGCGGAGAGAATTGGGTTTTGTGGTCGTCAGTGAATGACGCCGTCAGGCAGGCGCTTCAATTTACCTTATCACAGTCATTGTACAAGTGGAACTTGATGAACTTCTTTTTGAGAATTGACTGTAATCAAAGATGACCAACAACTACCTGGACACTGCTCAACTGGAGCTGTCTAATGAGTCCAACGAGACTCTGTACTTTTATCGACAGTTTGTTGACTGCTTTCAGGTAAATCTACCGCCAGCGTTTGATACTGGTGAGAGAAAAATCCCCGACTAACCATTTGTTGCCGCCATTTGTGTGCTAAACTAGTGCCCCCTGATTCAAACTGCCGTCATTCCTCCTCATGGCGCTCCGGCATCAGTGTATCTTAAGACCATCTACCACCAGGAATTTGCCATTTCCAAGCTAAACGCCCCGTATGTGGTGGTCAATCAGCAAAATGAGAAATGCATCAACTGGTGCTCTGACAGCTGCAGTCCAATCTTGCTGGCAAATCTGGCCGATCAAGGCAAATACAAACTTAGGTAAGGTTATAAAAACGATTACTTTTCTGTAACGATTACTACCTTTTACTCAGACTTAGCGAAATTGGAGACAGCCGGCTTTGTCAGCTGGATACAGTAGAATATGGTCGAAACAACCTCTACTCGCTCGTCATCGTCACCTTTATTTACTTTCTGACCATTCTCGCCTTGCAAATTGGCGGGCGATATCTCTACAAGCGATTCTGCTCTGAAAGAAGACCGGCGCCTGATGGCCTGGCGGCCATTGATGACAGCGTCAACGTGGCGCCTGGTAGCCCAGCTCCAGGGCAAATATTTCGCAACCTAAATGGAGGGGGAAGTCACGGACGATTCGGTTCAATTGATGCATTTAGAGGGTGCGTTCTTGTTGAGATCTAAAAAGGGTTTTAAAACTAAACTTCTTTCTTGTTTAACATAGGCTTACCATTCTACTGATGATATTCGTCAACTACGGAGCCGGCGAGTATCACTGGCTCAAGCACGCCCCCTGGGACGGCCTCCATCTTGCCGATGTGGTCTTTCCGTTCTTCGTCTTCATCATGGGCGCTTCAATCGCCGTCGGCTTCAAGAGTCTCACACAGCGCAGTACCTTTTCCTTGAGGGCCACTTTCAGGCGAATCGTCGGCCGATCAGTGAAGCTTTTCCTCCTCGGCGTGGTCACCAACTCCATTGGATCTGGTATTTCCAGTAATTTAGTTGTAGAGGGTGCTTTTAACTTTGTTCCACTTTTCTTACTCTCTTTTATTTCTGTCTCAAATAGCCGATTTTTCCAATATTCGCATTCCTGGGGTGCTGCAAAGATTCGCGCTGTCCTACTTTGCCGTCGCTTCCGTTCACCTCCTCAGTCTGGTGGCACCAAAACGCTGCACCAACAATGCCTTCTTCCAAAAACTGTTTCGCTACTTTCCCCTCTTTCCCGAATACTCACTCGCCCTAGTCATGAGTGTGCTCTACGGGTACTTTACCTTCTTCTGGAAGTACGACGAAAACTGCCCGGTGGGCTATGTTGGTAAGGATGAATGAAGGTGGTGGTCTGCCTTGTTTGCAGCCTGCCTAACTTATTTTGATTTTCAATGATCAGGACCCGGGGGACTGTACGACAACATGTACTACCCTTACTGCACCGGTGGCGCTGCCCGCAAGATCGATGAGCTGCTCTTCACCCCCCAACACAGCTACAAGGGCTTCTTCGGCGCGGTCCTCTACGACCCAGGACGAAGGCTGAAGCTGTGGCACGACCCGGAAGGCCTTCTGGGGACCACCACCTCGGTAGTGCTCACGCTGATCGGCTTCCAGGTGGGCCACATACTGGTCTACAATCACGAGCCGTGGGCGCGCTTCCGCAAGTGGTTCATAACGCTGATCGTTCTGGGAGCGCTCTTCAAGTTCTCCACTCTCGCTCTGGCCATTCCCGTCAACAAAAACCTCTGGTCGTTCTCCTTCATCACCGTCACCGGGTGCATGGCCACGGCCATCTTCTCCCTCTTTCACCTGGTGATCGACATTCGCAACTACTACTGCAACTGGCCGGAGGGGTGGCCGCTGCACTACGCCGGCCAGAACAGCATCCTCCTGTACATGGGCCACGAGATCGCCCATGACATGTTGCCCTTCTCCTTCGTCGTCAGCGGGACACTGCTCTCCGCCGGCGGGCACATTGGCTTCCTCCTGCGCAACCTCATCGGCACCACCATCTGGCTGCTGATCAGCGTCTACCTCGCAAAGAAGCAAATCTTTATCACGCTGTGATGGGCATTTAGAAAGAGAGAGACAACTTTGTCTCTCAATTTTCTGACTGTTTTGCAATATGAGTTTTAGAAGTGGCAGAAAATATAATGAATTGATGATGATGATGACTGTGATGATGAATAAGATTACAGAGGGGCGTCTCGTGAAACAGTGTCCATGTTCACGTGGTTGTTGTTGTCGTCGTTTCAGGCTGGTCCTGCTCCAGAAACTCGTCCCACTTGGCCATGCGCTTCTCCACCTCCTCTTCTGTTTCCTGCACCTTGTACTTTGTCTTGCCGTCCCAGTGAGCGGCGTCCAGTCGGCGACCGGCGAAGAAGCGGCCATTCATCAGCTCTATGCACTTGTCGGCGTCTTCAAACTCATTGAAGGTGATGGCGGCAACGCCCTCTGGATGCAGATCGTATATCTCCACCTTTTTCACCGACCCGCACTTCTCTTCACACTCCTCGCGAAGGTCACTGCGATATTCGAGAATCATCTTCGGGTCGGTTTCGAACATCTTTGGGTCAAACATGTTTTTGATTATGATCACCTTCTCATTCTTTTCTCGCTGGCCTTTGAGCTTGTCAGGTCGCCAGTCAAAGAGCTTTTCCATGCGCTTCTTTTGCTTCTCTTTGTCTCTTTTGTTTGATTTTTTCTTTTTCGGTTTCTTAGTTGGATCAAATTCGCCTTTGAGAGAAAACTTGGCGCGTTCTACTTTAATGGTGTGATCACGGAAGACGTAGCCATCGAGGATGCTCAAAGCCAGGTCTACTGACTCAAGTTTTATATAACAGCATCGCCCGTCTCCTTTTGGCATGCCATATTGATCGCGATATAGCTTGATTTTAAGTTGGTTCCTGAAAAGGAAAAACTGTATCAAATACATTTCATTTTTTGAAAGTTCACTTACTTTTCATCCTTCATAATGAGACCGCACTTTTTCATCAACTCCACAAACTCCTCCTCAGTGATATCTCCTGGTAGGTTTGAGACATAGACATTTGTATTGTGCTCATCATCAACCTCAAACCATTGGGGCTCTTTTTCTGGTTGCTTTCGCTTTTGTGCCCCTTTTCCAGCAGCTTGATCTGCGGCCTCGCCAGCTTCTAGTTTGTCATCATTTTTAGTTTCATCTTCTTTATCTGCGCTGTCTTGTGGAGTTGATGAGCTGTTTTCACCTGTGCTTTCAGCTGCTGCTGCTGTCTCTTCATAGTTTCCATAAGATGCTTGATACTGTGCTATAAAATCGTCGTTGATCTTAGGAAACCAGGCTTTTCTAGTGTGATCCCATTCAAATTCAGTTCCGTCCTGATCACGGTAGACATGAGGATTTGCTGGTGTGGCGCTGTTTTTCTCATCATTCTCCTTCCTCTTCGCCTCTTCAAGTGCCTCTTGTTGAAGTTGATACTCAAAGTCTTCATCATCTTCCATCTTTTCACGCAATACTTTGACAATCAACGTTAGCAAATCGAGATTGTTTGAGAAAAAAACTTCTGTTGTAGCCCATTCGTAAAAAACGTAAAAAACAAACCACATGTTTTTGTTTTGTTTTGAATCTCGTGTTTGTGCTTCTGTAACTTTGATTCTTTTCCAAGATGGTTACCGGTCAGCAAGCAGTTTGGGAGAAATTGACCATCCTCTATGGCTCAGAAACTGGAAACTGTCAGGACCTGGCAAAAATTGTAGCCTGGACGGTTACGGCGAAGGTTCGCAAAGCATCGCAATCACTGGCGGTGCAGGTGATGCCTTGTGATGATTACCCCATTGAGCAGTTGCCTGAAGAACGCCTGGTTCTGTTCATCTGCTCAACGACGGGCGTAGGTGAAGAGCCACAAAACATGAAACGTTTCTGGCGGCTCCTTCTTCGACGAGATCTGCCCTCTGACTCACTGTCGCAGTTGTCATTTGCTGTCATTGGCCTCGGGGACTCTTCCTACCTGAAGTACAACTTTGTGGCGAAGAAGCTGCACAAGAGGCTACTGAACTTGGGAGCTAACAGCCTACTCGAGCTGGCACTCGGAGATGATCAACATGATCTGGGACCATACGTAAAGATTGACCCTTGGTTGCAGGAGTTTTATAGTCAATTTGTACTTCACTCGCCGGAGGGAAATGCTGAAGAAGACCATTTAATTGAGCCTAGTTTCAGCTTTGATTTTCTCGACGATGAACTAAACAAAAGTGCCTCCTCTAAGAACGAAGAAAGCCCTTCAAGTACTACTAAGTTTGACGAATTGACGCCCTATGAAGCGACCGTTGTGGCCAATGACCGAGTCACAGCCGAGCAGCACTTTCAGGACGTTCGACTGCTGGGCCTGGCCATTGAGGAGCCTTTTCGGTACAAGTTAGGCGACGTCTGCTCGGTGTACCCGGAGAACAGTGACCAGGATGTGGAGACTTTTCTCGCCATGTTCAAAGACGAACGACTGCTGGGCGGCGACTCTAGTCGGCGGCGGTTCCTGATGACGGTCCGCCAAGGATGCTCCTCCTGGATTGCCAAGTCCTCCTACTACTACCACCTGCTGCGCCACCGGAATCCCTGTTCAGTCTTTGAACTAGTCAAGCGGTACATGGACATCAACTCCATTCCAAAGCGGTCCTTCTTCCACCTCTTCCACCGCTTCAGCCAGAACGACCTGGAGAGAGATCTGTTGCGGCGCTTCGCCCTGGGCACCGACCTCGACGAGCTCTACGAGTACGTGAACCGACCGAAGCGAAGCATCCTCGAGGTGATGGCCGACTTTCCGCACACCACCCCTCATGTGCCCTTTCACTACCTGCTCGACCTCATTCCAGCCATCTGCGCGAGGCCGTACTCGGTGGCCAGCACTCCGGCCACCAGCGCTCATCAGGTGGACCTGCTGTACGCAGTGGTCAACTACCGGACGCGCCTTCGCAAGCCACGACTCGGCCTCTGCACCAACTGGCTCGCTTCACGGACCACCGGCGATCGAGTGCGAATCTTCCTGCGACCCAGCAACTTTGCCCTGCCTGCCGACCACGCCGATCGACCGCTGGTGATGGTCGGTGCCGGCACCGGTGTAGCGCCCTTTCGAGCCTTCATCCACCACCGTGCTCAGGAGGGCATTCCGGCGAACTGGCTCTTCTTTGGCTGTCGCTACCAGGACCAGGACTACTACCTCGCCGAAGAGTGGAAGCAGCTGGCCGAACGGACCCTGCTGACTGTCTTTGAGGCCTTCTCCCGTCAGAATCCGGATCAATCGAAGGTGTACGTGCAGAATCGCCTGGTAGAGCAGCGTGAGCTGGTCTTTCGCCTACTGATACAGGAGAATGGCCTGCTCTGGGTGGCCGGAAAGTCACAGCAGTATCCGCAGCTAGTTCGTGAAGCCATCGCCGACATTCTAAAGCACCAAATGGATGGCGATGACAAGCAGGTGGACGACCTAATCAGTCGACTAGAGCTGAGGAAGCGAATTCAGTTTGAGTGCTGGTAGTGGTTTGGAAGTTCTAATAAACAAATATATTTTTGAAATCAAGATGACTCATTGTTTGCTCATTCTTTCGTCGAATTATCACTTGGCGCAGCACTGGCGATAAAACAATGAAAAGGAGGCGGAGCCTATCTCAATGTTGTAGCAAATGCTATGCAATCTCTAAAAACGCATTGATTTTTTTTATTTAGAATTCCGAAAAAACCTGCAACGCTGAGCTTGTTTTCCTCAGAAACACAAAAACAAACATTGGTGTCGTTCCCCAGAAAACTCTTCCTCTGAAAAAGAACGTTCTGATCTCGTGCAACTATGGCTCGTACCAAGCAAAGTCCGACTAAAGTCGTGGATAGTTCTCCTGTGATCACCAGCCGAAACAACAAAGTTCTCTCGACCAAAGGAAAACTCTCAGCCAAAGGAAAACTCTCAACCAAAGAAAAACCTAAAGCCTGTGAGCCAAACACATCCGCAAAGAAACGTTATCGTCCAGTAGCGATTCGCGAGATTAAAAGATATCAAGTAAATACTTTCACATTCAATTAACTTCTTTTACTAACTCTAATATTTTATCAGAACTCCACGCACCTTCTCATTCCCAAACTTCCATTTCAACGACTGGTCAGAGAAGTTGCGCTTGAATACAAACCCGATGTGCGTTTTCAAGTTGCTTCCCTCGAAGTAAGAACCAGCTCTCGGTAAATATTGCAATCATTTTTAATGTTCTATATTTTGCAGGCTATTCACATGGCTGCGGAAGCATACCTCATTGGTTTACTTGAAGAAGCGAACTTGTAAGCGTTGTATCTTTAAAAAATGATTTTTTTGTAATCAACTAACTTTTTAGATGCGCAATTCACGCGAAAAGAGTCACAATATTTCCGCAAGACATGCAGCTGGCTCGTCGCATTCGAGGCGAAACAGCTAACATACCACACAACTTGGGTCGCGCTCGAAGTCGTCGTAGCTAAATATTTATTCCGGTAAATTATCTGATATCTCATCATTCAGCAAATCTTAGTCCCCTTTTCAATGCCTCAATTCACATTGCAATTCACATTACCCTTTTTGTTGTAACTATATAAAGAAATTAAAATGTCCTTTAGAACCACTTTTTGATGACTGAAGTGCCGCCAGTGGGCGCGAGAGACCATCACCATGGAGTGCAAGAGTGCGCTGCTGACCAGAGAAGTGCGTACCGAACAACTGCACGTTTGTTTTGATGAACAGTGCTTTTGGTGGCATTGCATCATTTCACACGTTTCATTCTGTTGTGATATCAATTAGTATTATTTACCTTGATTGCTTAATTTAAAGAATGTTAATCATTGCAAGAATACTAACAAGAGCAGCTTAAAAAGAAGCTTGAAAAAGGGAGAACTATCATATTGTTGACAATATTTGTGGCCTAGGACTTTTCTCGAATTGTCTCTGCAAGCTAAGCTCCGAGTTCTCCAGAATGATGCACCGCTTCCCATCATTTGTACGATCATTCCAAAACTATCGCCCCTTCTTGACACGACTGACGAAGAGCTGTGCTGAAGTTGGGCCGAAAAGAAGAAACTTCTTTCACCAGTATGGCCCGCCACCCGGCAACACTACCTCAGGTCTGCCGCTTAAGAGTGGCTTCTTCTGGGCGACGACCGCTTCGGGAATGCTAATCCTCTTGAGCCAGTTTTACCATCAGCTAGGTGTACAGTTGAAGACGGCAGCGTGTAAGCGAATTGGCGACTCAAGTGGCAGTGGCACACGAAGTCCGCTTCGCTCAAACAGTCCAGCCGAGCTAGAGCTCTTTAAAGCCATTCGTATGAACGACCTGAAGAAGGTGAAGGATATCATCAACTCCAAAGAGGTTGACCTCAACACACGCCACTCTCTTGGCTGGACCTTTCTCCAGAGTGCCGCAGTTAGAGGTAAAGTATACTTACACTTACTGCTAAAAAAGGTATCAACTTTAAACTCGACTTTTCAAGGTGCTCATGAGATCGTTCAAGTACTGCTCGAAGCGGGCGCAGACCCTGATGCCATTGATGAGTTTTCAAATGCGGCTCAGATTTCATTTGAGAAGAAGCTAAACTATGTGGCTGTTTTCATGCTTAGAGAAGAGGAGTTTGCTGATTTTCTCTCCGGAAACGTTAGCTTTCTTGGCTCAACAGCACTACATTACGCCGCACTGGCCGATTCTCCGGAAACAATTCGAGTTCTGATGGCCCACCATGCTAATCCAAACCTTGAAAATGAATTCGGCCACAAGGCATTTGACTACATTAAAGACTCACAGGATCCAGCAATGGTGCAGCTCATTCCCGAGTTTACTAAATATGCAATGGAATATGAAGACTACATCAAGTAAGATTTTAAGTTTTTTAAGTTTCTAAAAAATAACCACTTTTCACCAAACTCAGACAACAGCAACTTGAATCTCGTCGCAAGTTTCCTCTGGAGCAGCGTATTCGTGAGGTGATCATCGGTCAAGAGGGTGCCATCACCACTGTAGCAGCTGCTATTCGCCGAAAGGAGAATGGATGGACTGATACCGAACACCCGCTGGTGTTCCTCTTCCTCGGATCATCTGGAATAGGAAAAACCGAGCTTGCCAAGCAGGTGGCTAACTACTTGCACGGCGACAAGCCATCGACCTTGTCAAAGTTGAAGGGCAGCAGCAAGCCAGAGGGCAATAAGTCCTTTATTCGAATTGACATGTCAGAGTATCAGGCAAAGCACGAAGGTATTTTCAGAGTTTGTTTTTTCTAAGTGTTTTATATTTACAATATTTTTGTGGAAAGTGTCCAAGTTCATTGGCAGTCCTCCCGGGTACGTGGGCCACGAAGAGGGCGGACAGCTGACCAAAGCTCTAACCGAAAATCCCAACGCTGTTGTTCTCTTTGATGAGATTGAGAAAGCCCACCCTGATGTGCTTACAATCATGTTGCAGCTTTTTGACGAGGTATTTTATTTGTGTTATTTTTTGGTATAAAAATCAACCCTTTTTTATCTCAGGGTCGACTCACTGATGGAAAGGGACGGACTATTGTGTGCAAAGACGCCATCTTCATAATGACGTCAAACCTGGCTAGTGATGAGATTGCCGACTACGGAATCAAGCTGAGAAGGGAAAGTGAAGAGCTGACAAAGGCGCACTACAGTGGAAAGATTATCAACGAACAGGAAACTGGTAAGTTCTGGCGGTGGGTGACTTTTAGTTGGGCTCAAGCTCTCAATTGTTTCTTTGTTTCAATAGAAAACCTAGACAAAGTGGTCGTTAGTCGGTACTTTAAAGACAACGTCATTAGGCCGATTTTGAAGCGACACTTTAAGCGAGATGAGTTTTTAGGACGCATCAATGAAATTGTAAGTGGTAACTTTGCTAGTTGCCTTGAACTTCTTTTAACTGCTCTCTTTGCTTCATCTAGGTCTACTTTCTGCCCTTCTCTCGTTCTGAGCTGCACAAGTTGGTCACCAGAGAGCTGGAGCTGTGGAAGGAGAGAGCCGCCATTCGGCATCGCATCAGCCTTTCCTGGGACCGAAATGTGATTGGCGTGCTCGCCAACGGCTACGATGTGCACTACGGAGCGCGGAGTATCAAGTACGAGGTGGACCGTAGGGTGGTCAACAAGCTGGCCTCAGCTCACGAGAATCGCCTGATGTTGCCCGGTGCCAAGGTGCACGTGGTCGTCTCCGAGGATGGCGAAGAGTTCACCTTTGCAAAGGTGGAGCCGACTCCTCTGCAGGAGGCTACTGAAACAGGTGCCTCCTCCTCCTCCTCCTCCTCCTCCTCTATTGCAAGTGATTCGGACTCGGGCGATCAAGACGAGGAAGAGGGGAATGGTGGTGGTGGTGACAAGGGCGCCGCGGTCAATAAGATTGACTGGAAACTGAAGCTGCTTATTGAAAATCCAAAGCCGGAGAAGGCTACAACCTCTAGTGGAGGATTTTTCAACAAAATGGGATTTGCCTAACTTCCAGGTCAGGTCTTCTTTGTTTGTTTGTCATTGTCTATCAACAACAAGAGCTTTTGTTGCAGTATAAATTGTTAGTAGTTTTTTAGTTTAGCGCCCAAAAAACAGACTCGTTTTTTTGGGTTTTCTTTTAATAAATCTGCAATCACACTTTATGGCTGCTGTTGCTGTTGTCGAGATTGTTCTCAATTTAGCGAAAAGGAGGCCCTCATCCTGTTTCTCAGCTTACCGGCAATAACTGTCACTGCATTTGATAATTACGGTGTGACTAAGGAAGAGAAACGGTGCGGTGGTATATTTCCAGTCGCGTGCTAAGTTTATGAGAGAGAACCTTCTCCTCAATTCGCGTGCCGGCCTATCAGTTTGCCTACTGACGGTGGGAGTTTTTTCCCTACAGCTTCTCAATCAGCAGCAGCAGTGAACCTCACTTTAGCAAAGCGTCTCTCTTTCTCTTACTCTCTGGTTTTTTGTAGCTTGTGCAATGTTTGTTTATTCCCAACTAAGCAGGAGTGTGTTTTGGTGATGATGGTTATAGGCTGCCATTGACGAAAATGATGCTCTCTCTCTCTCTCTCTGCTAATCTGTCAACCATCAGTGCTGATAAAG